GTCGCTCGTTTCATACATCGAGATTTCCATGTTGGTGACATCGCAATTTGTGGAATCAATTGACAACAATGTAATTTTTTGAAATACATGAAATGTCATGCATTTTCCCTAGAAAATGAACTTAAAATATTAAATAAACTTTGCTACAGAAATCTTTCATGTTACAATATAAAACATTTTCGCAACAATTATATAATACAAGTTTTATGCAATGATGATAGGTAATATTATGAAGAAAGTAGTGGTCTTTTGCATTACCCATGAGGTGCCACTAATAGCGCGTTAGGTTTTTTAACGTGGACCTTCGCCTGTAGCCCTATTCTACCACGTTTTATTTCGCATCTGTTAGGTTTTTAAATATGGATGTCGGATATATAGAATGTTTTGTGGTTTTTATATTGAAAGAAGTAAATCACAATATTGTTATTTTAATGTAAAAAGTTTATTAGGTAATAATATTTAATTTAGTTAATAATATAAAATATATATAATAAAATATAGTTGGCTCCAATTATTCAATATTATATTAATTTTATTAATAATTACTAGAATATTGAATAATTGAAGCGCTTCGGCCTCATCTTCCGCGCGGTCCTCCTCTTCCGCGCAGGCCTCCTCTTCCGCGCGGGAAAAATCCTCTGGCACCGCGCTGGTACCAGTGGGCTCTGGCGCGGCCCGCTCCTCTTCTGTGTCTTCCTAAAATGAGGATTATTAAAAAGAAAAGATTTCCAATTATTATATTGAGTTACTAATAGTTGCGTTATATTAATAACGCAATATAATATTAAATGCGTTATATTAATAACGCAATATAATATTAAATAAATAACTTACTAGTCGAATTGTTACCCTGCTGCTGCTGTTGTTGTTGGAGCTGCTGCGGTTGTTGTTGATGCTGCTGCTGTTGTTGTTGATGCTGCTGCTGTTGTTGTTGGGGTTGGGGCTGCTGCTGCTGCTGCTGCTGCTGTAGTTTTTGCTGCTGCTGGTGCAGTTGCAACATTTGTTGTTGTAACTGCTGGTGCATCAATTTTACATTGTGCACAATTTGCTGCATAGATTCTTCTTCTTCTGTTGAAAAATAAATCACATATATATAATTATTACATAAAATTAATCTACTGACACGGGATGCTTTCCAGCTACAGCTACAGTGTCTATTAGTGTGAGAAACAACATATCAGTGTGTCTCATTTGCACTAGTTGACGCTGTGTTACACAGTGTCGTTTGTGTACCTGGAAAGCATTCACGATATACTGCTGCACACCTTTCAAATTGCTTGATTGAATACATTCTCTTAAGACAACAATCGATGACAAAGTTACTGAAAATTGCTCTTTACTATACAATACAGCATATGCAATAATCACGAAAACAAACAACGTTTATATTAAAACATGCAGCGCGCAATGTACACAGCAAAAATATACGAGATATTTGCTCATATATTTTTTTTGCTTTGAGTTTTGAATAACTTTGTCATCCACTTTAGTATTAGAAAACTAATAATTTTACTTATTACTTACGGGACATATCGTCTTCTAAGGCGTGGCCTGTCTCACTCTCGTTAAGCGCCGCTCGTTTTTGTCTTTCAAACTAAAAGATGACAAGCGCGACGCGGGCGCGATTTACACGAAACAATAAAAAATCGCGTATATGTCGCTGCCACGCTGTGCGCTGCATTTGTTTTCCGTGATAATTGCGTATATCGTGTATTGCGGTGTATTGTGCAGTGAAGAGTTGTGGGTTATTGTTATCTATTTCGTATATTATTTATATGAAATCTGTGATACTTAGTAACTGTGATATCAATCTGTGATTATACTTGTACTGTTAGATTGATTGAAATCACTACGTGAATTTCTTGAAAGTCAACGTATTTTCTGTACATTTAACTCGGTCGATTTACTTGTAACGTCAGTCAGGAAACTGATTTCAAAGTAAGTCATTAAACTTACTCTCTATTTTTTCTTTTCATTGTCTTCTAATTTAATTCTTTGTTTTTTGTCGTTTTGTCGTATATTGAAATGTGCGATTCACAAAAAAAATCNAAGCGAAACTTTTTAGAAGCTTGGCTTACAGATAATCGATATAAATCTTGGATACGGAAAGTACCGTCAAATGATAGTCTTTTTCATTGCACTATATGCAATAAAGATTTTTCTTGTAACACGCGCATTTCAAGACATGCGGATTCTTTGTGTCATAAAAATAATATAAAAGAAAATACATGTGTTTCTTTAAATAATGATGTGAATGTAAAACCAAATACTTCAGATACACATAAATTTCAAAAACAATGGTTGAAAATAAAACAATTTCAACCGTGGTTATGCGAAGTAGTGCATAACAATAAATTATTTTTCTGCTCATTTTGTGACAAATATATGTCAGCAAGATTGTCACATATTTATGATCACGCAGAATCTGCAGCACATGTAACTACAGAAAAGTATATTAGAAAAAAACAAACAGATGAAGATGTAATTATGACAAACGAAACTTTATCATTCAAAGAGCAAAAGAAAGCAGCGAAAATTAAACTTGCTGCTTTTATTGCTGAACACAATATTTCGCTTTATACTGCGCCAGAAATTTTAAAATTTTTCCAAGAAATAGGAAAAGATGTCAATGTATTACAAAGCATGTCAATGGGTCGAATGAAATGTCAAAAGATTATTTTGAACGTGTTATGTCCGATTGAAACGGACCGTGTAGTCGACATTCAAAATACAAAATTTACTATTTTTATTGATGAAACGTCAGATATTTCTAATCAGAAATGGATGAAGTTTCTTGTTCGGTATGTTAATCCCGAAACATTAGATATTTTCTCGCTATTAGTCAAATTAATTGATATTGATGCAAAAAATTGCAGAGCAGACAAATTATTTGATGCATTTAAATGTGAAATGTGGAAATTTCAAATTCCATTTTCAAACATTGTCGCCTTGTTGTGTGACAACGCGTCTGTTATGACGGGCAAATATTCGTCATTTAAAACAAAGCTTGAGACAATGTGCAAAAATTTATTAACAATTCCATGCCCTTGTCATGCCCCTGCGCTAATTGCTAATGCTGCATGCAATAAGATTCCAGACTATTGTGAGGAATTCGTAAAAAAAATAGCAAGTTTTATTAATAGTAGTCCAAAGCAATCTGCTATTTTTGAAAACTTTGGTGAATGTTTTGAAGAAACAAACACCAAAATTCTAAAGTTGTGCGACACACGATGGCTTTCTCGACATTTGTGTATTGAAAGAATTTTAAAATCTTGGGATACTTTTAATAATTTTTTAACAGAAATAGTAGTAAGTAATAAAACGCAGACTCTAGAAACAAGCATACAAAAACTTCAACCAAAATCACTCGAATTGGTAAAAATTATATGTAAACATTTTTTACATCCAGAACTTTTACGTAATATAAATAATAACTTTGATTTTTCCAGTAAAGAAAATCATAAATCTATAAGCGAAGTAAACTTAGAGGAAGTGAGTGTGAAAAATATCTTGAAGTATTAATTGAACAAGGGCACGCAAACGTAGTTGCAAATGTTAGAGAAAATTGTTTGCAATTTTACGTTACTGCAGCCCAAGATATTTGTACTAAATTACCAATAAACGACATATTTTTATCAAAATTAAAAGTTTTTGAATTTAACATAGCTTTAAATAATAGTAACAGAGAAGCTTCTTTTAATGACATTTCTTTTGTCGCCCAAATCTTTGGTGGGTTTGACGACAATAATTTAAGAAAAGAATGGCTTATTTTACATCAAAGTTTAACAAAAACAGAAAAATGTTATTTGTCAACACTAAAGTTTGATGACATGTGGAAATAAATTTTCCAACGTACACATAAATATCCCAATTTAAAATCTCTTTTAAATGCCGTTAGATTGCTGCCAAATTCAATTGGCGATTCAGAAAGAATCTTTTCCTTCTTGCCAGATATAAAGACAAAAAAACGGAATAAACTTTCGTCTGTCACTGTTAATGCTACTTGTGTAATAAAATCAGCATTGAAAGCGAGAA